CAATTCAATTCAATTCAATTCAAAAATACTTTATTTATCCCAGAGGGAAATTTGGTAAATAATGATGTAAACACAATAAAAATTAAACCAAGATTTAGAATAATTATCATTTTGATCCATACATTGGTAATGTCTGACTGGGCCTCGTGACACTTTATGTTCAACAAATTGGGCCCTGAGGTCAAAAAGGTTAAGAAGCCCTGATTTAAATCACACTTGGACACTGATGGGACACATCAGAGACAGTGGGGCTTCAGTGTCTTGCCCAGGGACACTGACAGAACAGCAGAGGAACTGAACCATCAAATCTCATATTAGAGGAACGACTCCCCTAACCACTCAGCCACAGCCGCCCCAATTCATGTTACCCCAAGGTTTAAAATGCACCCTTCATGGTTGAAGGGATCTGCTGCAACAGGTTTGAACACACCCACTCACTTCTAAGGTCAATTTAGAATCACCCAACATACAGTTCCMTCCAAAGGTCTTGGAACAAGCAAGTCAGATTCTCTTGTTTTTGTTGTTCACTGAAGACATTTGTGTTTAGGATCCAAAGATGAGTCAAGAGTTCTGAATGTCAGCTTTTATTTCCTGATATTTACATGTAGATGTGTTAAAGTACTCAGGATATATCAATGTTTGTATTAAACCACAGCATATTTAGATGAGCTAAGGTAAAGGAACAAACACTCTTAAAGTAAATATTTATTTTCTGGTGGTATAACTCTTCATACAATGACTGCCTCCAGCCTGAGACCCATCAACACCAAACTGTTGATTCTTCATTGCAATGCTGTAACAGGATTTTACCACAGCTTCTTTCAGTTCTTGTTTGTTTCAGGGGGTTTTGTCCTGTCAGTCTCCTCTTCAGGAGGTGAAATGCTCTGTTGGGTCAGGCCAGGTGATTGTTGGGTTCAGGCCAGGTGATTGTTGGGTTCAGGCCAGGTTATTGTTGGGTTCAGGCCAGGTGATTGTTGGGTTCAGGCCAGGTTATTGTTGGGTTCAGGTCAGGTTATTGTTGGGTTCAGGCCAGGTTATTGTTGGGTTCAGGCCAGGTTATTGTTGGGTTGAGGGGCCTCATGTATAAATGGTGCATACGCATAAAAAAGTTGTGTGCGTCAGGTCTACGCCCACGTTGGGATGTATTAAAACCAACGTTGCGTGAAAGTGTGCGTATATTCATGCATACTTTTCACCTGCCGTGAGAATGTGCGGCAGCCACGCAAAGTTTTTCAGTCGACAGTTTTAACTCACAAAATCACGAATCTGACCTGAATCCACAGAAATATGACTCTGTTGTGTTTTCTGGATGTAAGGAGCGTCTGAACACGCTGTTAGATTTTTATTTTAGTTTGAGTTTTTATTGTTTAAACTTCAACGATTGTGAAACTGAACCCCGGGACTGAAAATCATTTAACCTCAGACAAGAAAATAGATCAGACTAAAACTGATCAAAAGAACCTCAATCCAGTCTGTAAACTGTAAACTGTTTATTTTGTTGTCACGAGCTGGAAGCACACGCACAGCGCAGGCCTGCGGAACGCACACACAGCTGAGGAAAATGAAATGTGTGAATTGTTTAAGAAACATTTTAATTCTGAGAAAAAAAACTTTGTCATCTCAGCAGTTTAATTTAGAACAGCTCAGCTGTGATGATTCCTCAGCTCCATAAGATGCAGACAATAGATTTGTTGCTGCGTAAAGTTGTGCGTAATTTAATGATCAATGTCAGCTGTTCTGCAGGATGATATCAGCACAAGAAGAATAAATGTTCATTTATTTATTTATTTATTTATATCACACAGAACAAATTACAATCAGGTATTTTACTGTAGTTCTGAGTCGAGCCATGCAGCTGAATGAGAGACTTCATGATTCTAAAATATAAATCACACCGCAGCAGAAACTCTGCGAGTCATTTCTTCACTTCAACTATTTAATAAATATTTGTCTAAGTTCTACCAAACTCTTCAGTTCCTCTGTGTTTACAGTCATTTATTAAAGATGTGTAAAGGTGGAAATGTCTTTCAGTCTCATATGTGCCACTGAAGACACCAACACCCACACACACCTTTGAGTGTGGCAAACACATTTTTACACAACACTACTTATTTAGAC